GTCGGACGTTTAACCGACTGCGCCACCCAGGCGCCCCAATATTTTAAAACGATGTCAGAGAGTCTAAGGAAGAAAAACCATCGCCTAAAATTTCACTCCACCTAAATAACTGCTAATAACTTGTTGGTGAACCTCTTCCCGTTTGTTAGTCTCTCACAGACACTCGCACGGCATACGACTCCACTCATATGAACTTGGTGACGGGACATGTTAGTAATGCCTTGATGATCATCCATAGGGGACCTGAGACACACAAAAAGGTTCGGCACTGAAGGGCTGCTGGAGGAAGCTTGCGAACAGGTTTCACTGGTGGAGAATTGGAGTCCAGAGATCTGCAAGGACCCACAGGGACCAGTGGGGACCGGGAGCCGTGGGGCGTCCCTTCTCTGCCTTGTTTCCGCCCTGGTGATGCCAGCTGCCTCTGGGTTCAGGGCAGGCAGGAGAGGAGAGGGCCAATCATGTGTCTTTTGTTCCAGTTACCTTTCTGATGCCTTCTCTCGCTCCCCCCACCCCGCTCAGGAGACCCCCCGACTCATGAGGTGCAGCTCCCAGCTGCACTTTGGAGAATCCTCCCGCCCTGGGATGAAGTGTGGGCCAAACACGCTTCGATTCCTTCCAAGGGTCGCCCTGTCTCAGACCCAACACTGGGCTTCTTCGGCAGTGATGCGGTGTGGGGCTGGCCTGGTCGTCGTTGCTTCTCTGCCCTTTACAGTGGCATTTTGACGTCGGGCAGGGAAACTCCAGAAAGGCTGGATTCGTGGTGACTACTCTTGGGCAGTCCTGGTAACCGGTCAAGTTGGGGAGGAAGTGGAAACTATCGGCTCAAAGAGTGCTCTGGTGTACCTGTGGCTTCCCCGCCACCGTCCCCCGCAGCCAGCTTCCACCTGCCGTGCGTGTGGGCTGGACTTCCTGGCTCCACCTGAAGGCGAGGAGACAACACGGCAGGTTCTGTACAGATACTCATCGAGAACCCTTTGGGTCTGAGCATTCGCGGCCAGACTGTGTTCCTTTGACGTTTATATACATTTTACAGAAATCCCCTTGTCCAGTTGGCTGTAGCATTTGGTTGATGCTGAGTGCTCAATTTTCTTTTTAAGTAAACATTTGTTCTCTGGGCGCTTGTACATGAAACCAAGATCTTTGATCTTTTTTCGCTTTGCCTGCCTCACCTAGATGTCAAGAAACAAAATGGACAGGGACGGCTTCCTTTAAAACGACGAGAGCAACGTCAAACCAGAGATTTGGTTGGTAATGAAATTAGAAATAATCTGTATTTGTACTGTGAGCCGCAAAGGCATTTTAATGGAGACTTGCAGAGGTCAGAAAAGACATGTGTGACCCGACCTTGTCCAGGTGGCCACAGCCGAGGTCCTCAGACTGTTCTAGGTTTCACTGTGGTTGTAGCAAAGTGGGTAGTCCCTGGCCAGCACCCACTCCTCTTTCCTACCTCCACGGCCCGTTCACAGGCCCCTAAGAGGCTATTCCTTTGTGGGGAAGGTGAGAAATATTCCAGGGCTGTTCGCTGGCTTAGAGTCTTTATCACAATGTCGGTTCTGAAACAAAATACGCTTGTTTTTCAAAACATACCGTACAGAATGCAACTGAGGGCACTCAGTGAATGAATCCCCGCTTTGAGGCTTCCTGAGAAGTTTCTTGATGACATCTGCTCCCCGTCTCTTCCTCCCCCTCCCCTCCGTGATGGGTTCCCCGATGTACTCCCGGGCGAGTGGACAAGGCCAGTGGCCATCAGAGGCTGGCCGGGGATTACCCACTACTCAGCTAACCTGCTGGGCTCTGTCCCCGGCAAAGCCGTCCTTCCAGTTGGCTAACGCTTGGGAACCTGAGTCAGGCTCCTTTCTGAAGCGCCAACCTTCTACTACTAAATACTTTACGTACACCTGCTAGGGCCCTGGGAAGCCGTTAAATCTTCCAGATTCCCTCAGGGCCCCGGATCATCATACCAGGAGGAGAGCAATGGTCATTGCTCAGGACATTCCTTGGTTTTGTAAAAGGGTGTTCAAATAGCATTGAGGTTTGTGTTTGCTTGCTTGCTTTTCCCTTATCTGGCATTAAGTGCTAACAAGTTCAACATGGTACTAACCTCTTCCCTGTGAGGAGCTTTGAAGCAGGGGTGATGTTTAAAAAACCCAAAAACCAAACAGCAGCAGACGCAGGGTCCTAAATCTGCCCTCGATACCTCTGACACGTCTGAATAATCATTTGATCTCTCTGGAGTCTTGCTCTTCTTATCTGGAAAATGGGAACGATAGCTCGAGGTCAAGGAGAAATCGGTGTACTTAGAAGTTCTCTGCGAAAGCTGTAATGCAGCTGGCTGCATACGCCTAATTTTTTCCTGTATTTTCTCTTATATGGGTCCTGTCAAAATGGACAGGTTTATAGGACCTTGAACTTTTCTCCAGGAGGGAAAGGCAGTTATGCCCTGACCACCTGCTTCTGGGTAACGAAGCCCCCTCCCCACCCCCCAACTCCCCATGGGATGGTGGCCACTAACTGCTCAGCTGTCCCCTTTGGTAAGTCACTGTGGGCTGGTCCAGATACCTTGGGAACCGGATGGACTCCACAGTGGGCTGATGGCTCCATCGGGACCCTTCCCATCTGGCCCCGAGACACAGTTTTCAGTTGTGTGACATGTGCTTGAGTCCCTGAGTCGTGGAAAAACAGGGAAATCAATGTGAGCGGTGCTCAAGCCACAGCTGGAGGTCCACCCAGGCCCCGTTGTCCTCATTCTCACCACTAGGTGGCGTTTCCTTTCATGCCCGGAAGTGGGCAGGGGGCGGGGGTCTCATCCCACCTTGGGCTCCAGGCAGGTACCAGCTGGGTTGACCCACATCCTCCCCCCCCGCCCCCATCCTGGTCTGATGCAGATTCAGCTTCAGGACATCATACCCAGTCCAGCCTTCCTGGGGTCATTCAAGGGCAGCCCACCCGTCAAAGGGGCTTTCCAGGGCCAGAGAAGCAAAGCGTAAAATGCTCCTGATGGTCTCTGCCCAGCTTCCAGAAGGTCCACACCCAAGTTGGGCTGTATTTTCTGATGCGCTGCAGGATGTCTGTGGTGGGGCTTCTGCTCTCTCCTGCAGCTTTCTGTCCAACCACGGAAAGTGCTCTCGAGGACAAGAGGCTCCTGGTCAAGACTACCTCAAACACAACTCAGCCACTTCCTGTTTGTGAAACCAGATGGGGGTGGGGTGGGCACTGTTTCATGGGCTTCAGGAGCCAAGGCCCCTCGGGCCCCTCCTTGGCCTCTTCCTCTCCAAGCCCACGAGCCCGGTGCTCCCTCCTGGAGCCCAACGCCCTGACGGCTCAGAGATACATGAAGGTTTCATGGAAGGGACAAGTCTCTAGGATCATGAGAAACCTTGCGGCGTCTGAGATTTCCACTTCCTCTCCTCACCAGCCCTGGCTCTCGGGCCGGCACACCTCCCTGAGCTGCCTTGTGGTCTGCTCACAGCCCTGGGCTTGGAAGGAGGGGGCCGTGGTCGGTGGGGGCAGGCGCTGTCTCACCTCCATGCCCGGGCTGTGTCCCCACAAACCTCCTTTCGGTTACTCGCCCGCACCCAAGGATGGAGGGCCTGT